GGTATTCGAATAGTTGAAAGACACCCTAGCTAAGGCCCCAACCATGTCACCACCCAAAAATGGCCAAGAGTTTAAGGTGTACATCGCATCAAACTCTGAAACCGTAGGATGTTCGTTGGCCCAGGATAACGATGAAGGTGTTGAATGCCCAATTTACTATGCCAGTAGGACCCTGAAGCCAACCAAAAGGAACTATTCCCATATGGAGCAGCAGTGCTTGGCACTGGTATTTGCTGTGCAAAAGTTTAGGCACTACATCCTAGGTCAGAAGGTGAAGCTAATCGCACCTCATAAATAGGCCTCCTCTTTCTGGGAGACTGGTTAAGTGGATGATGCAACTCAATGAGTACACAACTGAGTATACCCAACCATGAGCCATAAAGTGGTAAGAAGTAGCGGATCTCTTAGCCGCCTTCCCCACCGACGATAGTTTCCCTATTTCCGAAGAAGTGCTCGGAGAACTTCCTATTATCATAGTAGTCGAAGACGGGGAGTGGACACTGACCTCTTATGGAAGTAGCACTAACACCACTGTTGGGGTTGGTATCACATTGACCTCGCTCGTCTATGACACCTCGACCTATTTGTTCAAGTTACAGTTCCCTTGCTCCCACAATATAGCAAAATATGAAGCCCTGGTACTAAGATTGACCGAGGCGAGAGACTCTGGGGCTAAGAAGGTTAAAGTGGTAGGAGACTCGAAACTGGTGATCAGATTGATGGATGGCAGTACTACAGTCAAGGAATTGACAATCCTGCCGTATAGGACCTTAATACAAAGACTAACAAGAGACCTAAAGGTAACATATGAATACCAGAATAGGGCCAAGAACAAATATGCTGACGCACTAGCCACCTTGGGGTCGAAAATCCAACTCAGTGAGAACCCTATTAGTATTACCATTCAAACACATTGTGAACCCTCAACCAATAAACTGGGATACTAGTAGAGAAGAAGGATGAAATCGCAACAGATGATTGGAGACATGCCATAATACAGAAGCTAAACAACCCAACAACGGCAATGTAGGATAGCAAGATAGTTTTAATGTTTCAGTTGGTGAATGGGGTACTATACCATAGGCTGGTAGACGGGGTTAGGACAAGGTGTTTAGGGTCAAAGGAAGCGGAAGTGGTCATGGACAAAGCTCACAAGGCTTATTGCGGAGATATAACAAACACACTGTATAGGAGACTGTAGAGGTTGGGGTATTCCAGAAGCAGATACGGGAGAGTGCCTTGCAATAGGTGAAGTAGACTAGAGAAACATGTACGTTGATTACTTGGAGAATAAAACCATACCAATTGACCCAACAATGAGGAGAAAACTCCTAGCAAGTGCCAAGAGATTCTACTTTTAGGACGGAGTGTTGTACAGGAAGTCTCATATTGGGATACCTCTACGATGCCTAGTCAGTAGAGAGATAGAGGAGATCTTAGAGGCTGCCCACAACTTTGAACCAGCCCCACACCAAGGACAAATGGCCTTGTACAACCACATCCTACACCTAGGTTTCTACTGGCCTACCATGGTAAAGGACACCCAGAAGCATGTGCGAAGGTGCCATAAGTGCCAAGTGCATGCTAAGAAGATATGTGCCAATGACTTCCACCCTATCATCACACCTTGGCCTTTCCACACCTGGGGAGTAGACTTAATAGGCAAAATTCATTCACCGTCCCGGGGATATTGCTTTATCATAGTGGCCACAAATTATTTCACTAAGTGGGCGGAGGCCATACCCTTATGAAGGATATGTGCAGAAAACATCACAAACTTTCTCAAGCAACACATAGTCCATCGGTTTGGGGTCCCAATGAGAATTTTGATAGACAATGGCCTATCCATAAAGAATCAAGAGGTTCAAGACTTGTTGGGACAACATGGGGTGAGACTGGGTATGTCTATGACTTATTACCCACAGGGGAATGAGTAGGCAGAGGCAACAAACAAAATGTTGTTAAGAATGTTGAGCAAGATGGTGGTAGACAACCAAAAAGACTGGTTAGAAAAATTGTTAGAGACTCTTTGGGCTTATTGCACGATGATTAGAAAAAGTACACAAGCAACACCTTACTCCCTGGTATATGGTCAAGAAGTAGTGCTACCGGCAGAAATACAGATAATCTCCGCCTGGTAGCCTTTGCAATGGGAAAATGGTTTCGAATAGAGGACATGGATCAGTTGCTCAATGATAGGCTAGAATATATCGATGAAGAAAGAGAAAAGGCGTTATAGAGACAAATCAAGTACAAACAAGCCTTGGCCGCAATAACAAATTAGTGAAGTCCAGAAAATTTAAAGAGGGAGACATAAAACAATGTTCCATGTTAGACAAGGAAAATCTACCGGAAAATTTTCTCCTAATTGGGTTGGACCATATGTAACCCAGGAAGCTCACTCATCGGGCTATTATGTACTAAAAACCGTAGACACTAAGATGAAACCATGAATGGCCACTGGTTGAAACTGTACTTTGAGTAGCGTTGTAAAAAGATATGTAATGTTGCTTTGTGTAAATAAACATGTTACATTTTTTGGAAAGACAATTGTCGTATAAAAGATGTGTTGTATTTAGAACACAGTGTATCTTATATTCGTTGTATGCATATTTAACCCTGAAAATCTTATGTGATGAGTTTCAACTGTGACTTTAGAGCCTTTGTAAGAGTTGATATCTTGTAATGTATTTTGAGTCTTGCGATGAAGTTATGATATATTGATATATTCTGAATAGTATGATGTAACTGTGATCTGTTATTAATGGATATATTTTGATTAAAATTTGTGCGATGAATCTTGACCATGCTTACTATATATTTATATATAGTACTATTGAGCTATAGCTCAAGCTCAGGCCAAGCTTTATTTAGAAAAGCACGAGCCTCGCTTGAAAAATAATCAGACCTGATGTTTAGAGCTCAAGTGCGAACTCGTGGACTTGAAACTGTCCAAACTTGATGTAGAATGGGCTATGCTGGGCCAGCCCATGAACAAGTCTAATACATCCCTAGAATTTAAGCCATTTTCATGCTCTTCTACATCTATATATTAAAATGGAATGTGCCAGGCTAGCACTTTCTTGCTTTGTGGTTTTTAACACTTATTAATACACCATTAACTCTCTCTTTCTCTCCCCTCTTTCTCACTCTTTTAATAATCTCTCATTATTAATTATGCCATTAACTCTCTCCTTCAATAACTCATTCCACTAATTCTTTCTCATCTCTATTACTCCATTAAATTGTATATAAATACATTAACTTTATTTATATATATCCATTTCAATTTAACCCTAATTATATTAGATATATTTGCATTAAACTATAATTATTAGTAAAGATTAATTATATTGAAATTAAGATATTCAATGATAGATACATTATTGCGCTAAATAATCTACTTCCATTTAAAAATATAATCCATTTATATTCCATTTAAAAATAATAAAAATTAATTAACCATAATAAAAATAATTTAGTAAGTTACTTAAATTAAAAAGTAATTATTAATTATTGTTATTGATAAAAATATTTTATTAATATAATAAAAAGAAATTATTTAATAAAAGGAATAAGATAAGGTAAAAATTAATATCAACTTAAAATTAATATAAAACTAATACAAAATTATCAAACAATTATTAGTTTTATAATTGAATTTTATTAATTTAAAACCAACTTAAGTTCCACTAAAAAATAAAAATTTATATAGTTAATTAAATTTCATAATAAATTTAAATTTAATAAAAACATAATATACTTAAATAAATTCAACTTTTACTAATTTAAAAATTAATAAAAAATATTAATTTTAAATATAGTTTAATTATTTTAAAATCAATTTAAATTCCATTTAAAAATAAGATAAATTATAAAAAACCTCATTGGGTTTTCTAACAATCCTATGAATCTCCCCAATGTTTTGACTTTAACAAAAACCTCCCTTATTATTTTGAAAAAATGTGCAAATAAATTAAAAAATGTTGATGTAATGCATTAATTTGACTTCACTTTAGCCTTTTTTCCTTACTTTGTCCAAGAAGAGTATGGAGAATTATTCTTTGAAAGTTGTTTGGCAAAATAAATCACTGAGAGTAAACTTGAAACTTTAAATTATGTATGATAGTGCATTAGTAATGATAAGGGTATTTTGGTAATTTCAATGTCTTTGTTACCGAAAGGCCAAGGGAAAAGGAGGTATTTACACTTTTTTTTCTCATAACTATAGGGAGGCCTTTGCTACAGTCAGAACGTAAAGGTGGTTTATAGAATTGTCATAATAGGATGCTTTTTTATAGTCTTACTTAAAAATAATATAAACCAAAAAAAATTAATAAAAATTCCTTTCAAAAATATTAATAAAAGTTAACATTAAGATACAAAAAAATAATACAAATTTATCTAGAGAATTAGAGATTGGCCACTCTCAATAAAGCACAACTTAGATTGTGATTGATTAAACTAGACATAACCCCAAAAAATAATTCTTGAATTGAACTTAGATGGATACCATTTAATTAAAAATGTTATAGAGCTCCATCTTCAATTTTGCTTATAAATAAAACCCGTGCATCACATGGTTCTTGACTAGTATATATATGTCCGGTTGAGAGTGGACCCTTAGCAAATTTTAAAATCTATTATCTATATATTAAAGGAAGGTAGTGAGGCTGAAGCCTCTCCTATTCTGACACGTGGAGCTCTAATTTTTCAGAAAACAATATTTTAAAATTAGTTAGTTACATTTTCGAATAAAATTCAAAATTCGAAACATTTTTTCAAAATATTTAAATTAATACATCCATGCCCAACGGAATAAGAATATTTTTAAACTATCACAAATATGGTTCAAAATTTTTAGTATAAAATATATTTTAAAAAAATGAAATAATTCAGATCATTAGTACGGGGTCATGCCTATAGTTGAAATAAAAAAGGGGTTTGCAATTTAAGTGACATGTTGTCCGAGTTCACATCTGCCCCCGGCCGGCCGGCCCCCCGACGGGGTGCGCCCCATATGCACATCTCCCATATTTGTTACTGGTTTGTTTCCAATTGGAACATCTCCCGTACTTGTCACTGAGATGTTTCCATTACACGGTTGGGATGTAACGTAGGGCTGTTTTTGGGGCGCGCTATGCGAATTCATGTTCTCCGTTCTTCGTCTTCGTTGCTAAATCCAAATAGCCAAACATATACGAAAATTTACAAGCTTTGCCATCGTACCAGAATCTCAGATATTCTCTCGGGTACTTCTCCCTTTATTCTCTACACCATTCTTTAGATCGCTTTATTGAGTTCTCTTATTTTCTTGATTTTCATTTTTGGGTTTTCAATTGTTTGCTTAGGATTTTCAAATCTGGTCTTGTAAGGCAAGATTAAGGTTGAAGAATGTCTGCTTCGACTGTTGCGATTGCTGCAAATCCAGCGGTCAGCAACAGCCCTTCTCTGGCTTTGGCTTCTAAGCCAAATGCAAGGAGGAGAGCAGTTGTTGTCACCGAGAAGAAATCCGGCATTGAAATGGTCGCAGAAGGGGCAGTTTCTGAAACGGGTGATGAGAAGGGTGGGAATGGAAAGGATTTGAGTCATTCCATTAGGGGAGAGACGGTTCTTGAGAAGCCGAAGGATCTGTTGCAGTCGAAGAGGAATTTGGTGAATTCAACGGTTTCACCAAGGCGTACTAGGAAGGTTGTTTTGAAACCTGAGAAGCCCAGATGGATGACTGTAGTTAGTATTTTCACGAAGAATTTCGTGCTTCTGCTTGTTCTATTGGGGTTGGTTCAGATGATTAGGAAATTGGCTCTTAAAAATGAAAATAGTGGTATACCTCAGGCGGGAGCATTGGATTTTGAAGGGCGGGTAGCAGAAGTTGAAGAATTTGTGAAGACAACGACAAATATGATGCAGGTTCAGGTGGATGTGTTGGATAAGAAGATACATAAGGTTGAAGAGAAGGGCAATTTGCTTGAAGGGGAGGTGAAGAAATTGGAGGATAGAACTGATAGATTGGATGCATCTTTGCAAGAGTTGAGGGATACTGATTTCTTTCCCAAGGAGGATTTCCATAAATTTGCTGATGAGTTGAAGAAGAGTAATAGCCTTAAGGAAAGTTATAAGCAATGGAGCTTGGATGAGATTAAGGCTATTGCAAGGGAAATAGTCAGGAAAGAGGTTGAAAAGCATGCGGCGGATGGACTTGCCAGAGTGGATTATGCATTGGCTTCTGGTGGGGGAATGGTGGTCAGGCATTCGGAGCCTTACATCCCTGGCAGTGGTAGAAGTTGGTTTTTGGCTACAGGACGAAATAGGGTTCATAGTGATGCACAAAAAATGTTGCAACCCAGTTTCGGAGAGCCTGGTCATTGTTTTCCTTTGGCAGGAAGCAAGGGTTTTGTTGAGATCAAGCTGAGGACAGTGATTGTACCAGAGGCAGTTACTTTGGAGCATGTTACTAAGGTGATACTTATGTTCTCACTAGGTTTATGTACTGTTTGTTTCTTTTGCATACATTTCACAATTTCTGGATTACATGTATACTCAACAAAATTGTGTATGAAGCATTTTCAACATTGGTCATGATGTGGGAAGTAAAATAATCCATTGGTCATGATTATTGATATTTCAGATGACCCTTTGCCTCCCACTCTTCCGTCTTTCTGTTATAACATAGATGTTCCCTAATTGTAGTAGTTCCTATTAAGAGTAGTCAACAATTGTTTTGAAGTGAAATAACATGAATTCCCAATGGACAATCAAGTTTCATGCATCCAGTAACTGATGTTATTACTAAACAATGAAACTCAATATGTGGTTGCTTCCTAAGATGGTAGTCATCCCACCAGATAGATTACTTGTCATAAGCATAGTTATCAAGGCGGCAAGGTCTGACTACGTGATGGGATACCACCTTGTTACCTGAGTGCTTAAATCTACACCTTGGTGCTGGTTAGGGTGTGGTTCTTTTAGAAATATGAAGTATAATTTATTGGGTATGATCCATGTTGTCTTGTGCCATATTTTCAATTTCTTATTATTTTGTAATGGCAAGTACTAGACGGAAGTCAATATAATAAGTTTTGCATATAAAGACACACTGAATCATTAATTTCATAAGGCAATATCAGTATACACTTTTAATCAGAAGTCTCAATATTCCATTTAATATAATCAAATGATCAATTCCATCTTTAAAGTAGGATAACATTTAAATTGTGCATTTTCATGTAGCAAGAATCTGAACAAATAAGCAAAGCAACAAGTCAATGGCATGGTACATCCAAGAAATCCAGTATTACGGCACATTGAATCTATGCAAATAAGACAAACTAACTGTACATTGAATCTAAGCAAGGGGGCGTTGCAGCAAGAATCCAAGAAAATAAATAATTAACACCATACTATTACATATTCCATATGATATTATATATCCTAAAGGACAAATAAAAATAACATGCCATACAACATATGGTCGTTTTTCCCTTTTCCTTAAGAAGGTGCTGAACATATATGCAAAAAATAAGGTGTGATGTAAAGGTGTCCTCTTGAAAACAACTTGTCACCTAGGCATCACATAGTTGCCCATCTAGGCGTTGCCTTGAGTTATTGACACCCATAGCCTGGCTAATGGTTGGGGTAAGAGAACATTGCAAAACCATCTGTGTTCTCTTATACCTATAATGCTCTGGGAAAGGGTTCTGATGATTCTTCAAGGAATGCATCTATGCTCCAGAGCAGGCAAATGGTTTGAAGTTTGAACCAAACTTTAGGAAATGTGTTTTGATGGTGGCAATAGAGTATTGCTTCAGGTGGAGAAGAGATTGAAAGAGGCTTTTGGGTTTCCTCGAACTAACCCTGTCTACTTCTTTTCCCTTTCTCTATGCAAGATAGGTAAAAAAGGGCATCAACAGATTAGTTTTCCTTTTTGAATCATTCTCTCACAAGCTTTTCCTTAAAAGATCATTCTATTCCTTTCTTTCCATAGTTCCAAATAAACAGCAAAAGGAATACAATTCCAGAAGATTTTAGCTTTGTTACTTCCTTGCAAAGTAGGCCAGCACGTGTAGATTTCTCTAGGTGATCTTGGAGACCAGATGGATTTATCAAAGAGACGAATGAGGAAATCCCAAACAGAATCTGAGAATTTACATCCATAACAAAGATGAAGAGCATCCTCTTCCTTTGATTCACAAAGCACACATTTGCTGGCTAGTTGGAGGCCTTTTCTCTTGATGTGATTTTGTGTTAGGATGTTATGTAGAGAAACCAGCCAAGGCCTCTACTCTTGGAGGGACTGGGTTTCCCCAAACACCTTTAATCTCTGACCTTTCAACATGATTTCTCGATGATGTCTTGTAAAATGATTTCACTGTAAATCTTCCATTCCTACACTCTTTACACCTTCTCTCATCTGAACTGTTAACATTAATCTCTGCGTCTTGTAACCTGGACAGCAGTTGAATGCATTCTTGCACCTTTCTATCTAGCAATGGTCTTCTAAACTTTGGAGCCCAAACCACAATACACTGTCTTAATTCATAACATTGTGTATTGCAATATTCCTTTCACTTAGATTATAGAGTCTTGGACATATCACATAGTTTTCCAATTCCCAACCAATCATCCTTCCAAAATTGAATGGTGTTGCTGAACCCTACTCTTCATTCTGTTATGTTAACCACTAAAAAGTGAAACTTCTTCATAATGCTCTTCCAAATCCACATGCCATGCAGACTTTCCCCAAGTCTTTATGTTATTCTCTTTTTTCTTGGTTTCCTCAGTTGACTTAGCCTCTTTTGTAGTAACTTCTCTGCCTTGCGACCCACATAAACAGGCCTGTTCTGTCCTTTGTCTTCCTCCCTTCGCCCCTCCTTCCATAGCTGGGCTTCAATGGAAGTAGCAAGTCAAACAGGGTATACTATCTGAAACAACCTCTATCTTCCTTGGAATGTCACTGGGTTTAACTCTGCCTAGCTTCAATGCAACTGAATGGAGATCAAAATCAAATACACCATCTAATCTTGCATCACTGATTATAGCTATTGACTGTAATACTTCCTCCTTCCAGAGATTGAAAGGTAACCCAAGCAATCTGACTATTACGTTGTCCTCTACCTCAAAAACTTTTGGTGTTAGAGAGAGGACTCCATTTCAAGACTGTGGCAGCACCAGCCTATAAATGAATATTTAAAGCTGAAATCTCTACTTCAGCTTCACCAGATCTATCAGAGCTTTACAAGATTCATAAGCTGTAATCACCATCGGCTTTGGCAGGTTTAATTCTCTGAGTATCGCCTGCGCAATACCCCTCCAATCCTTTGGTGGGCTTGAAGTTTCCACCACAAATTTCTTCCCCCAATCCTCCTTTCCTGCTGTTGCTACCAGTTTACAGTTTCTTTTTCCTTTTTCTGCAATCATCCATTTCCTATCAATGGATTTTTCCTCTCTCTTTTGTTTACCCACTTTCTTTTCCTTTGCCATAGTCTCTATTTGTTCTGTTTTCAGCTGTTGAGTAAAATCACTCAGTACCTCTGCCACTACCTTCCATCCATTACCCCTTCTACCTTCTGGGAAGCAAACTAACTGCTTCTTTCTTCCTTCAAAGAATTCCTGCAGAGTTATGTAGCATCCTTTTGCATTCTTTTTACATTCCAGCTCATATCTCTTTCTTCCATCTAAGTTGAATTCCTTAAAGTTCACTTGTTTACCTTTAGGCTATGTTTGATTTGAAGGAAAAGGTAGGGAAACCTATACAAGGTTTGTAAAGGTTTCCCTACCTTTCCCTTCCTTTCCCTACTTTTTCCTTCAAACCAAACACAACCTTAGAACTTGCTTCTGAAACAAACTTCTGCATCCACTCGATCACTTCAATACCTTCTTTCTTTGCCTCCCTAATCTTCAAGCTCTGCAGGCCTCTGATCCTTATCTCTTCAAAGATGAAATCTTTTGCTTCAATCTTCATCGCTTTCCTCCATCTTGCAAGGTTATTTTTGTTTATTCTCTTAACAATTGCCAGTAGTTAAGCAACTGTAAGATACATGTGTTATTGCCATGACAGATAAAACGATGCAGCTGCTCCAAACCTTCATATGAAACAAATGGCTCATGACCCTCTTTACAGGTATTTGATATGTCCCGGAGATTTCACACACAATTCTCAGTCACACGGCAAAAAATTACACAACTCAAATGAAAGAAACTGGTATTCATTCAGAGGAAAGCATTAACAGTTGGTCGGTTCTTCGAGAGACCGCCGACTCTCCCAAACACTCAAGATATTCTTCACTCAAAAAAACCTGCCCTCTCCCCATCCCCCAAAGACCCTTCTTATACCCTTCTGACAGCATAACTGACTCCCTCTATAAATGCTCAGCTGACCTAGTTATAAATGCCCAAAACTCTTCTTATTCATAATTGACATAGCTATATATGTCCCAAGACTCTTCTTATTCCCTTATGACTTCCTCTATAAATGCCCAGCTGGCGAGCCCCATGTGTTTAATCATTTCCCCCCTTAACCGATTGTTGACCTGGCTTACGCTGCCCTTTCTTTCTCCTAGCATATGTAAGGTTAATTGGGGGCCTATCATTACCCGCCGCCCAAAGTCTAACCTTGTCCTCAAGGTTAAAATGAGGAAATTGGTCTCGAAGCAAGTCAAAAGGCTCCCAAGAATCTTCAAAATCAGGCATGTCTTGCCAATGAATAAGCACTTCCAAACCAGTCACTCCAGGCATAGTGGATGGACGCACACCACGCACGACAGCAGGTTCCACCAGCATCTCCATATCAACAGATAGAGTGGAAGGAATCACAGGAGAAGAGGTATGGTTTCCAATCGCCTTTTTGAGTTGCGAGACATGAAAAACTGGGTGAATTCGTGCATCTGGAGGAAGTTGAAGTTTATAAGCGACAACGCCAATTCTTTCCACAATAGCAAATGGTCCATAAAAACGAGGGGCAAGTTTTTCATTGACTCGGCGAGCTAGAGACTGTTGGCGATGTCGCACTCTCACATACACCAAATCCCCGACATCAAAGTTCACATCACGTCGGTTTGCATCAGCCAAGTCTTTCATCTTTTGTTGTGCACGATGTAGATGACGTAGCTCACTAAGTATAGCGTCACACTGAAGGAGAACAACTTTAACATCAGCATTAGCCGTAGAGCCAAGCTCATAGCGGATTAATGGAGGAGGATCACGCCCATAAACCACCTTGAAAGGTGTCGTGCCAGCAGCAGTGTGAAAAGAGGTATTTTAGCTGTATTCTGCCCAAGATAACCAAGAAGACCAGCGGGAGGGAGAATCAGCCGCAAAGCAGCGCAAATAAGTCTCTAAACAGCGATTAACCACCTCCGATTGACCATCCGTCTGAGGATGGTAAGCTGAACTACAACGCAATTCTGAACCTTGCAAAGTGAAAAGCTCGCGCCAAAAGAAACTCATAGACTTTATCACGA